TGGTAGAATAATATGATTATGTGGGTACACATATCACATTTTTTTATGCCTAAAATGTTATCCCAGGGCTACAGACAGTACATTGGCACAAAGCATAGAGAGATTTAATTTGGATCTGTTCTTTTCATTGCACTGTATCAACAGAGACAGAGTGCCAGTGTTGTCTGGCCCTCCATCCTTCGTCACCTATCTACATCCATACAGATAAATCTCTATGGCCACACCCTACTGCAAGTCAACCTGATATAACATAATACCTGTGGAGATAGTGCACACTCTAGTGGTAGCAGAGAGGGACATCAAAACCACTGAACCTTCCAGATCATATCACAACTGTTGCGTAATCATTGACGGAAGTAAAGTCTATAATCCAAAGCACATCCTTTTTTTATTTTGCCAAGTGGGACATGATCCTTGATCATGATTGTTTTGTTACCTGGATCAACAATACAATACCAACAGGGTATAAGTTTGGCTCCTGTATGCTGATTGGCTGAAAGCTGAGGTATATGAGACAATATACCATGGGTATGAGGCAAAACTACTTGTTTACTGGTCTAATTACGTTGGTAACCTGTTTATAATAGCAATAAGGCACCTTGGGGGTTTGTGGTATACAGTGGCGACCCGTCATTCAGAGCCCCACCTGTTTTGAGCGCCACCTGTTTATAAAAAAAATATATATATATATAATTTATTTAGCCTGTTTTGCGTTAATACATGTGACATATCAGTTTGCAAACAATGTAAAAAAATATAGAATTGATTTAATAAAGCCGCATACACACATGGTCTTTTTTGCTTTCTTGAGTAAAACAGCTCCAAAATGCAGGTGTTTCAGCCTAGCTCAGTGCTTTCTGTGGTGGTGGGGCAGCCAGTGGAAAATACGGAGCGTAGGGGTTGGTAATGTTCTCTAGTTGCGCCGTGATTGGCTCAGTGTTCTGTCACTCATGGGGACAGTATGTCACCGCAAAATCTACGTGGATAGCTCGAAAATTCAAGCCCCTTGGGTGCTGCCATAGAGTTACATTAGAAGTGCCCATCCAAGAAGGCTCAAGGTCATTGGCCACAGATAAAATGATGTCAAATCACGTTATATCTACCGTAGCTTTGATTGGACTGATCATGTCAACATCATACTTGAAAATCTCAGCTAGCAAGCTAGACAAGTAGTCATCATCATGAATCACGTCGACAATCTACTGGCAAATCCTTTCATTTTCAATCCTTGTCATATGAAGAGAAGTTATAGATAAAACGTATCGGTGCTCATCGGCCATTGGACATAGACATTACACAACAAGTTGGAAATTGCAAATTCAACAATGAGTGGTTTGGAAAGAATCAGTGGCTAACTGCAAGCATTGCAAAACAACCACTAGACTGCTATTCAGTGGAGTGGGTGTGTGGTCCAAGTCTGGGTTTAAGGGTCTCTTTTCCAAGCTTAAAAGGATAAACATTCACATGCCATTGGCCAGAAAGGTTTGAATACATTGGCCATGCTGTCCATCCAGCATGGCTTCTGCCACGTTTAAAACAACTGGAAACTCGGAACTGGGAAATCTCAGACTTCAGGGAATTCAAGACACTGATGGTTACTGATGGTAGGCTTTGTTACTTTGGTCCCAGCTCTCTGCAGGTCATTCACTAGGTCCCCCCGTGTGGTTCTGGGATTTTTGCTCACCGTTCTTGTGATCATTTTGACCCCACGGGGTGAGATCTTGCGTGGAGCCCCAGATCGAGGGAGATTATCAGTGGTCTTGTATGTCTTTCATTTCCTAATAATTGCTCCCACAGTTGATTTCTTCAAACCAAGCTGCTTACCTATTGCAGATTCAGTCTTCCCAGCCTGGTGCAGGTCTACAATTTTGTTTCTGGTGTCCTTTGACAGCTCTTTGGTCTTGGCCATAGTGGAGTTTGGAGTGTGACTGTTTGAGGTTGTGGACAGGTGTCTTTTATACTGATAACAAGTTCAAACAGGTGCCATTAATACAGGTAACGAGTGGAGGACAGAGGAGCCTCTTAAAGAAGAAGTTACAGGTCTGTGAGAGCCAGAAATCTTGCTTGTTTGTAGGTGACCAAATACTTATTTTCCACCATAATTTGCAAATAAATTAATAAAAAATCATACAATGTGGTTTTCTGGATTTTTTGAAAATTACAGGCCTCTCCCATCTTTTTAAGTGGGAGAACTTGCACAATTGGTGGCTGACTAAATAAAAATTTTCCCCACTGTATTGTTTAGTGTTGTGTTGTGTAGTGGCTTTGCTGGCATGCATCTAAAATATATATTTTTTGTTTGGCCCACCAAGATTTACATGCTAAAATCGCCACTGGTGGTATATGACCATCGTACTGTTCCACGGCTAAGGGCTGTATCCAGGCACTCAAGTTTGCGACGTGCATAAGAACAGCCCTTAGCCCTGGTATATTGGCCATACACAACAACCCCTCGGGCTTTATTGCTTAAGTATAGTTCAACCTGAATAGTAATTAGGCTACAAAAATAATGATTACATCTAGATTGAAGTGGTGGTTGAATAAAAGGCTAATTAGGCTTCCTGATAATTACATGACATAATTACATAATTACATCATTATATAATTACATCATTACATAATTACATTACATCATTACAAACAGCAATAACTATTTGGTTGTTTTGTGATTCATTTAAAAAAGCACCACCTGCAAGGCAGGTTTTTTCTGGTTAACACAGAACATATTACAAACATATTACAAACACAACAGTGGTCAAATATGTTTTTGTGAACGTGACAACATCTGTGACTCCATGGATTAGATTTGTGACCAGCATTTTACATATTTGTGACTTGCATTACATTTGTGAGTTGCTCCACATATTTGTCAGTTGTGTTTTATGGATCAGTTTGTGCAGATTTAAGATATGGCATTCAGATGCATAAAAATGAGATAAAAATGAATATATCACAATTACTTTTAGAAATGCATCTGTTTGGTATCCTAGCTTCCTTTCTTTCCTATCTTAGTGTCCTCCTTTCCTTAATCCTTTCCTCCCCTCTTTTGCTTTCCTACCTCTCTTTCCTTTCCTCCTGTCCTAGGTCCCTTTCCTTTCCTTGCTCCCTTTCCTTCCTTAGCTTTTTTTCCTCTCCTCCTTTCCTATATAATTTCCCTCCTTTCCTAGCTTCCTTTCTTCCTTTCCTTGCTCCTTATCTCCATGTGTATGCTTGCTCATAATTATAATCACAAACAAATATTTTTAAAATAATGTCTAATTGATGATAAAAGATTTCCAGCAGGAAATGCAAACTTGTAGAGTTTTTTAGGTTTAAAAATGCTTCTAAAGTTTGTAATTTCCACTTTAACATGACTTGATTTGCCCTAATGAAAAATGGATCAATCCCCTCCAAAAAGTCCCATTAATTATAATCCACATAATAATTCACATTTCCTGTTGCTGCAGGATTATTTTCCTGCTGTAGCAAACTGTCTCAAAATCAGATCCTACATCAGTACTTCCCAACAGACTGAACAACTTTCACCCCCTGAACTCCCACTCTTGCCTAGAAATATAGGAACAGAAACAAAAAAACATGTCACAGAATATACTGTATACATGTATGAATTTGGGTTTGTACCCTAGCACAAAGCAAAATGTGATTTAACTTACATAAAAAATGTTTCTAAGTTTCAAATCTACAGCCCTTATTAATGTCTCAGCCCAAACTGCATTCCCTTATCTTGTCAAGCTGGAAACAAGTGCACATAGCTTTCCTGTGTGACAGATTGAACAGATCAGAGCTGCTGGAGATAGATCAAAATGACTTGTTACACAATGATGCTTTGATGTAGAACACATTAATAAAATCATATCAACTTTTTCTCTGCAAGCTGCCTTTCTTTGGCAGGTCAATGCACTAAACGGCTTTGGAATCACTTTGAAGGGATAGCTTTAACTTTCACATCACATTCGGTAACATTTATCAACTTCATAATCACAGTCTTTTGTGATTCACTCAGCGGAGTAACTCTGTGTTAGATATTGGGGAGTATTAAATCTGGTGGGGGGTCTGGGGGTTCTCCCCCGATTTTATAGAAATGTTTTAATGCATTTTGCTTACTTATCTGTTAACCTTCCATGACATGCATCTAGAGTGATCAAGTTTGCAGACGACACAGCAGTAGTAGGCTTGATTACCAACAATGACGAGACCGCCTACATGGAGGAGGTGAGGGCTCTGGGAGTGTGGTGCCAGGAAAATAACCTCTCACTCAATGTCAACAAAACAAAGTAGATGATCGTGGACTTCAGGAAACAGCAGAGGGTGCACCCCCCTATCAACATCGACGGGACCACAGTGGAGAAGGTGAAAAGCTTCAAGTTCCTCGGCGTACACATCACTGACAAACTGAAATGGTCCACCCACACAGACAGTGTGGTGAAGAAGGTGCAATAGAGCCTCTTCAACCTCAGGAGGCTGAAGAAATTTGGCTTGGCACCTAAAACCCTCAAGCTTTAGCTTTTACCATTAGCCTAAGTAATTTTACTGGCCAACTTCACTTACTGATAAGTGGGTTAATGGGCATGAGTAAAAGTGTCACATGTTAGACTGCACTCAGTGCTTACCCCCCGCCTCCTCTCTTAACTCCATTGTGAGACGCAGAGGGACTCCAGGTAAATAAGCATAACAAGAGCTATTCCAGGAATGCTTGTTAAGGAACGAGAAAATGTTGAAGTGCGAGTTCCACCAGAAAATGGGGCTGACCCACACCACCCTGAAGGAGGTGTAACGGAAGGAGTTGGGAGAGAGTGAGCAGGTTGTTCACATTCTTGGGATTTCCACTGTCATCAACAAATTCCTGGCCAAGCCCACTTTCTTCCTCCTCAGGTATATAACCATGACACCAGAGTGATGCTTGTCACTGCAGATCCTTTGTCCAAGTCTGATCCAGCCAGCACCTGCTAACATACCTGTGCTAGCCAGCATCCTCCATCCTCCATCCACTATCCACCACCATGTCATTCACCTCCAGATCCTACACCTCTGCCAGGGCCCTCAGCATGTATGGGGGTGCCGGTGGCCGCGGTTCCCGCATCTCCACCTCCCAGGCTGGGGGACTCTACGGCACCGCTTCCTCCAGGGGTGGCTTAGACCTGGCTGATGGCCTGGACCTCCACGTGTCAGCCAACGAGAAGGCCACCATGCAGAACCTGAACGACCGCTTGGCCTCCTACCTGGAGAAGGTGAGGCTTCTGGAGAAGGAGAACGCCGAGCTGGAGAAGAAAATCAAGGACTGGTATGCATCACGCCCGGTTATCTGCCACGACCACAGCGCCTACTTCGCCACCATTGCTGGCCTGAAAGACAAGGTAAGACGGAGAGGGAGAGGGAGAGGGAGAGGGAGAGGGGAAGGGAGAGGGAGAGGGAGAGGGAGAGGGAGAGGGAGAGGGAGAGGGAGAGGGAGAGGGGGAAGGGTGTGTGTGTGTGTGTTAGAATTAAGGGTGTGTGACACCTGAAAATGTTTAATTTATTCCCAAAAGCACTTCATCATCACTGTTGATTTATTTGCTGGCTCCTCTGTGTATAGGCAGTTAGTTGTTGCATCTGTTCCTCTCTATGGGGGTGAGGAGGGAAATGTGTGTGGGATGTGGGTGTTTCAACTAAAAGGAATTCTGTCAGAGAACGTTTTTGTTCTGTTCCTTGAAGGCCAATGCAGGTTACGTACTAAAATAATGTCATTAACTACAACTTCACACATCCATATTCTTATGTCAATCTTATCTGTCTATAGCTACAAACCAGATTTGCAACCAAAGCTGTGTCCCAAATGGCACGCTATTACCTAAACAGTGCACTATTTTTGACCAGAGCCCTATGGGTCCTGGTCAAAAGTAGTGCACTTTATAGGGAATAGGGTGCTATTTGGGAAACAACCCAAGTCTCATTTTTGGCAGTCCTGCTGCAGGTCACAGTCACTTGAGAATGTGCGTATAATGATGTGGGTGAAAATTAACACAGTGCCATCATGATTTCTGTTCCACAGATCAGTTTGGCATCCAGGTCCAATGCCAAGACTGTGCTGGACATCGACAATGCCAAGCTTGCTGTTGAGGACTTCAAGATGAAGTAAGGGGATACTAACTACTATGAATCATGACACACTATTTATACACTGCTCAAAAAAAAATTAAGGGAACACTTAAACAACACAATGTAACTCCAAGTCAATCACACTTCTGTGAAATCAAACTGTCCACTTAGGAAGCAACACTGATTGACAAAAAATTTCACATGCTGTTGTGCAAATGGAATAGACAACAGGTGGAAATTATAGGCAATTAGCAAGACACCCCCAATAAAGAAGTGGTTCTGCAGGTGGTGACCACAGACCACTTCTCAGTTCCTATGCTTCCTGGCTGATGTTTTGGTCACTTTTGAATGCTGGCGGTGCTTTCACTCTAGTGGTAGCATGAGACGGAGTCTACAACCCACACATGTGGCTCAGGTAGTGCAGCTCATCCAGGATGGCACATGAATGCGAGCTGTGGCAAGAAGGTTTGCTGTGTCTGTCAGCGTAGTGTCCAGAGCATGGAGGCGCTACCAGGAGACAGGCCAGTACATCAGGAGACGTGGAGGAGGCCGTAGGAGGGCAACAACCCAGCAGCAGGACCGCTACCTCCGACTTTGTGCAAGGAGGAGCAGGAGGAGCACTGCCAGAGCCCTGCAAAATGACCTCCAGCATGCCACAAATGTGCATGTGTCTGCTCAAACGGTCAGAAACAGACTCAATGAGGGTGGTATGAGGGCCCGACGTCCACAGGTGGGGGTTGTGCTTACAGCCCAACACCATACAGGACGTTTGGCATTTGCCAGAGAACACCAAGATTGGCAAATTCGCCACTGGCGCCCTGTGCTCTTCACAGATGAAAGCAGGTTCACACTGAGCACATGTGACAGACGTGACAGAGTCTGGAGACGCCGTGGAGAACGTTCTGCTGCCTGCAACATCCTCCAGCATGACCGGTTTGGCGGTGGGTCAGTCATGGTGTGGGGTGGCATTTCTTTGGGGGGCCGCACAGCCCTCTATGTGCTCGCCAGAGGTAGCCTGACTGCCATTAGGTACCGAGATGAGATCCTCAGACCCCTTGTGAGACCATATGCTGGTGCGGTTGGCCCTGGGTTCCTCCTAATGCAAGACAATGCTAGACCTCATGTGGCTGGAGTGTGTCAGCAGTTCCTGCAAGAGGAAGGCATTGATGCTATGGACTGGCCCGCCCGTTCCCCAGACCTGAATCCAATTGAGCACATCTGGGACATCATGTCTCGCTCCATCCACCAACGCCACGTTGCACCACAGACTGTCCAGGAGTTGGCGGATGCTTTAGTCCAGGTCTGGGAGGAGATCCCTCAGGAGACCATCTGCCACCTCATCAGGAGCATGCCCAGGCGTTGTAGGGAGGTCATACAGGCACGTGGAGGCCACACACACTACTGAGCCTCATTTTGACTTGTTTTAAGGACATTACATCAAAGTTGGATCAGCCTGTAGTGTGGTTTTCCACTTTAATTTTGAGGGTGACTCCAAATCCAGACCTCCATGGGTTGATCAATTTGATTTCCATTGATAATTTTTGTGTGATTTTGTTGTCAGCACATTCAACTATGTAAAGAAAAAAGTATTTAATAAGATTATTTCATTCATTCAGATCTAGGATGTGTTGTTTAAGTGTTCCCTTAATTTTTTTGAGCAGTGTATAAAACATTTGTCTTTCACTCAAGGCTCTATACAACACACTCTGAGTAGAAGTTACCCTTTTAGACACAGAACTAGAATCAGCCTACCCAAGCTAAATCCTGTCCATAACTATTAGTGAGGAAAAGGCTAAACTGACCTTAGATCAATGACCGTGTCCAAATGCCCATACTGGCGTACTACATAATTAAACTGCATACTCATTTCGGTGTTTGATCTAGTAGAATTCACTTGTCTTTTCCGACTCACATGTTTGACAACAGCTGATAATCAGATTAAACGAGACACTGTACCAAAATGAATGAATGGCGGGAGTCAATGCAATCTCGCATTAGATTACACATTCGTAGTACTATTTTCAAATTTCACATACTATAAAACACACTATTTAGTACGCTAATAGGGGTATTCGGACACGGCCAGTGTTTAGCCATCCCTACTCGATAGACAAAGCAAAAGATTACAATTCTGAAAACAAATTGGTAGCCTGTGTGACCTTTGACCTTTGCCCTGCTCAGGTATGAGAATGAGCAGGCCATGAGGATGGCAGTGGAGGCAGACATCAGTGGTCTGAGGAGGGTCCTGGATGACATGAGCCTGGGTCGCTCTGACCTGGAGATGCATTACGAGGGTCTGAAGGACGAGCTCATCATGCTCAAGAGGAACCACCAGGAGGTAACGGATCGTTCCGGGCAACGGTTATTCATAGTACAACCACACTGTATAGCACAGGGGAGCTGTTTTTCCACAGTACACCCATTCAAAACCAAAATGCCATACCGTCATATCTTTCACTCAAGTTACGATGTCCACCAACGCCCACACGTTGTCACCTCCCTCCTCGCATCCACACCTAAAACAGATATGTACCATGGCATGTTTGTGCTAGTGAATCTGAATAGGAATGGCATGCATATGTTTACTTGTTAATACTGACCTAATAGTGCAAACAGTAGTAGAAAAATGAATTTATTTTTTGCTTAGTATTCAGTGATGACATACAATAGGCCCTACATGTATTGCATTCCACTTACAGCAGCAAATAACTCACTTCAGTAGGCATCCACATGACAGTTGCTAGGTGGAAGGATATCATTGGCCACTGAGGAGTACTTAGCCCTGTTTTGCATGGGGTGTTATTGAAGCAGTTAATGTTTTGCACACAAATATGACATCTACCTAACCTCTGCTGATATCACACCAGGATTTCCTTTACACAGATGGATGGGTGTTTTTTTTTATAACACGGTTCCTCTCCCCTCCTCACACTTCCTAGTATTCTTAATTTCTTCCATTAACTCACTATTACCCTTTGTGGGACTCTTACATCCACAAACACACAAATGACAGTTCATGTATGGTGCATAATGGGTAATATCTTGACCCGTAGGAGACTGGTCAAGACTTAGTCCCTCAGGTTAGAAGTCCTCTGGTTGAAACACATGTAATCACAAGTGTGGTGCTGCACTGTAATAGCAAATACTCAGACTTATCTAAAACATTGAGACCTGTTTACTCGCCGTCAAGCTACTGTTGGTTGTTACGGTTACTAACTGCGGTTACGTCCTCTGACCTTTGACCTATAGGAGATTGCCCTGGTGAAGACCCAGGTGGGCAGCCAGGTGAATGTATCGGTGGATGCTGCCCCATCCCAGGACCTGAACGCAGCCATGACCGAGATCAGGAAGCACTACGAGTCTGTGGCTGCCAAGAACTGCAAAGAACTGGAAGCCTGGTACCAGGGCAAGGTGAGCTGAGTGACCAAGATACTACATGTAGTCATTTACCCCAAAGTGTTATTCTCTAATTCAGCTTTAGACAATGTCAGCTGCCCCAAAAAAACATGCATTCAAATGTAAAGTGTTACATTTGAAGTGTTCATTACAAAACATGTTTAAAGCATGAAGAAAGTATATTATCTGTATAGGAGGAAGTCAATGATCTATTGAAGCATGGAAATCAATTTAGAGACTGAATAAGTAGGCTCTGAGGTAAACTGTGTTGACTAATGCTGTTTTTCTACTTGTACAGCTGGCCACAGTGGAGATTGAAGTCGTGACAAACAATGAGCAGCTGGTGAGCTGCCTCACAGAGTTGAAGGAGTCCAAGAGCACCCTCCAGAGGCTTCAGATTGAACTGCAGTCCCATCTGAGCATGGTACAAGATCTCCCAGCATCCGCACCATACACAAATCGGGTCTTTACACACACACACACTCTTACACTCTTATTCTTCTTTTTTGTTAGAAGTTTTCAGAGATGTAAGTGACCAGCATGTGGCGTTACAGCACTAATACTACAGGAATAAAAACATGCACACTAAACTGAACATAAGCCATATTGGAATTGGAAGTGAAAACCCAGGCATGGATGATAGCATGTAGGCCAGGTCTCTGCTTGTCATTATTCTGACACCCATAAATACCTTACTGACATTTTCAACTTGGCAACATGCCCACCTCATGTCTGGACTTGACCCAACATTTTTCTGGGGGTGTAGTCTATTGGAGCACCAGATTCACAACCTCTCACTCACTTTTGTACAACAGAGTTCTACAATAATAGAATATTATCCATGTGTGTAGTGCATTGGAGAGGGCACACACTCTATCCCCCTCCAACAGAAGCAAAACTGCAACAGTGTCACATACTGTGATAGTATATCATTGGACAAGGTACCAGTATACCCACAGGGTGAAGTTTCCCTAGGTACAGATCTAAGATCAACTTCCCCTCCCCAATACTAAACTTAACCATTAGTGGGGGAGGAAATGCAAAACTGACCCAAGATCAGCATCTAGGGGCAACTTCACCCTACACCCACTAATCCCCTCCACCCCTCCTTCCCCAATAGAAATCCTCCCTCGAGGGCACCCTGGCAGACACCCAGAAGCGCTACTCTGCTCAGCTGGCAGGGCTCCAGAGCATGGTGACTAGCCTGGAGCTCCAGCTCTCCCAGCTCCACGCCAACATCGCCCACAACAAGCAGGAGTATGACATGCTGCTGGACCTCAAGACCCGGCTGGAGCTCGCTGAGTACAGGAGGCTGCTGGATGGAGAGGAAGAGAGTTCCTCCCAAGGTAAACCATTGCATACAGCTGGCAATGTAGGCATTTGTAGACTTTATGCCAAATGCATGATCATGAGACTCATGAGACTTGGTCTTGCTTGATTTTAAGCTGAAAGCAATATACTGTATCTTCAAAACTTGAATGTTGACAATTATTCTGGACTGTATCAAAAGTGGACTAATGAAGAATAGTGGACTAATGTCAATTTTTGTCTCCCCAGTGGTTACCAAGACGATCACCGTGACCCAGACCATTGTGGATGGAAAGGTGATGGAAACCACTGAGTCTGTTAAATAAGTTGTTAACAGAACAATCAATAAAGATTATGTGGTTGAATGAGAATGGGCTGTGTGGTTTCACTTGTTTCAGAGATATTCATGCTTTATCATAGACTGACTATATCAATATGTGAGTATGGATTTCATAGCAGATACATTTTGTGTTCTCTTTTCAAATTGTTTTAAATTTTACATCTTTCAACCAAAACATGGTGACCAGCTCTACATTTGACTCTAAAAACAATCTCCATACAGTATATAACTCTGAATCTAATGTTTGAAAAACTGAGTGCTCGATTAATAGAGATAGAATTATGTAATTTTGCTGACAACTTGCAACCAGATTTCTACTATCAGCATTTCTAAAAAATATTGTCAAGTATTAAACTCTGTACAAGTTAATGTCATAAATTACACTTTTCAAGATCATACTGACACATATACTTTCTCAAGACTATAGAATTGGCCTCACGTGCAAAATATAAAAACCTATATGATAGTCAGATGTATGGGAGCACACCAAATCAGATAAATCAAGTTGAAAGACACAGAAGACAGAATGACGGTGTCGGCAAGTCAGAGCATCTTTATTGCATTCACAATGGGGTCAGTTGTTGGTGTTCCATCCAGATGTAGTAGAACATGTTGTTCTGGAGGTGTCAACCAAACAAATAGAATTACCAGAAAAGAAATCCCCATTCAAGTCAATGTTCCATGATGGGTGTCTGAGGGGCTTTAGCCATTCTAGAGTTAACCAGAGCTGGGATAAACAAATAACACAGATAACGAAGATAGGAATTTTTCATCTGACAAAGACTTTGTATAAGTTGAAACATTGTATTTTAGGTTGCATGAATAAAGCACTGGAGAGCAGTAATTTTCCATGTGCTGGCCTCTCATTTCCTATACCCATTCTAGTAATTATATTTCTATGGTTAACCCATTGCTTGCTGCAGTGCTTGCTGTGTGTGTGGGACCTTAAGAGGTGTGTTTGGTTTCACTTGAGGAGACAACCTTGCCGTCCACCATTTCCTCTGTGACGATCACCACCTTGTGTGAGGTGGACGTGGAGGAGCTGGGGCCGGATTTGGAGGAGCTGAGGCCGGAGCTGAGGCCGGAGCTAGAGGAACTGATGTGGGAGCTTGAGGAGCTGTGGCCGGATTTCGAGGAGCTGAGGCCGAGGCTGTGAGGAAGGGAAACCCATGGTTAGCATAGTTAGCATCTATGATCTATGATCATAATAAGTATCTATTAAAGGTCACATAGCTGTAGATTCATGTCAAAAGTAACCATGGCTCATACTAAGGTCAAATTCATTTTCACTTGTTTCAATGTCCCATGTCACCCCTCTTCCCAACCCAAAAAGACGTAACACTCTCCTCCCACATCCCTGTCTGTCTTATTGGCCTCCCTCAGTCCAATCACATCCTGCCTTACCCGCTAGCCTCTCCGTCCAGCAGCCTCCTGTACTCAGCGATCTCCATCTCCAGGCGTGTCTTGATGTCCAGCAGCATCTTGTACTCCTGGCCCTGGCGTTCCATGTCGCTGCGGAGAGACATTAGCTGCTCCTCAAGACTGGTCACTTGGCTCTGGAGGCGTCCCAGCTGCATGGAGTAACGACCCTCCGTCTCCGCCAGCGTGTTCTCCAGGGAGCCTTTCTATTGGCCGAGAGAGATAGAGATGATGGGTCAAAAACAGTGGGAGTAGGTTTGGAATTTGGAATGTTTACTGTCATACTGAAAAGGTTAGCTCTAGTAATTGAATGTGTAGGCAGGTAGAGGTTAGCTATAGTAATGTAGTGGTGCCTGGCTATAACAACTTGAGGGATAGTGGACGAGACCAGGTGAAAGTGAGATACTTGAGGTTTCGTAAAGAGAATGATGAAAGAGTCAAATGTTGATTATTGAAGAAAGATGTAGAAAGTTGTGTAAGTAATGCCCCCTAAACTGTGGTCTTTGGTCAGATGTTAGTAATTACGGCTCACCATGCTGAGCTGTGACTGCAGTTCGATCTCCAGGCCCTGCAGTGTGCGACGAATCTCTGAGATCTCTGACTTGGAGGTCTGGAGAACCTCTGTGCTGGACGCCACCTCTTTGTTCAACGTCTCTGTCTGTAAAACACAATAAGTAGTCAGTCATCACAGGAACAAAACAACATTTCAACTCATGATAGAATGTGACAACGTTACCAACTAGAATTTAAGGAACATCTACACCATGAACATAGTTTAGAGGTTCTAGAGGTTCTACCTTGGTCTGGAACCAGGACTCCAGGTCGCGCTGGTTCTTGGCACTAACGGCCTCGTACTGCTCACGGATCTCAGCCATGACTCTGCTCAGGTCCTCCTGTGGTGCTGCGTCCACCTCCACGTTGATCTGTCCAGTCATCTGTGTCCTCATGGCCAGCAGCTCCTGAGGAGAAACACATAGTTGTGAGTTTAAATGATTAAGAAGTGACTAACCTCTGCCTGATGGTGACAACTTGACCTGCCCTCTGGCTTCATTATAAATGTGAACACCATTGCTTGATACAGATGTGCTTGAAAGCCAGCAATGTTTTTCTAACAAAGACCCATAGTAGGTAGACATGGTCAATAGATGTAATACATTAAGGGACTGTATGGATATGTTCCATCAGCCCACACACACCTCCTCATGGTTCTTTTTGAGATAGATGAGCTCCTCCTTCAGCCCCTCGATCTGCATCTCCAGGTCAGATCTGGCCAGGGCCATCTCGTCCATCAGCCTTTTCAGCCCGGCGATGTCTGCCTCCACCGACTGACGCATGGCCAGCTCATTCTCATACCTGAGAGATGGAGAGAGCTTAGGTCAACGAACTGCCTGAATGTGTTCCTCTGTGAGAATCGCAGGGGGTTTATAGATTCTACTATTCCATTTAGTTTTGGGAAAATAACTGAAAGTAGCACCAGGCTTCTGATATGTCTGTTGGGAGGATGTGGTTATGGTGGAGGTGGAGGGTGATGTCATTTGGTTTCCATTTTTATAGATTCAACACAAAATAACAAAAATAAAACAGTACGAGGGTGTTTACAGATTTGGGCGTATATTCCATTTGGTTTATGGAATGCACCAGCAGTGTACTGTATATGTGGATGGTGTTGGATATACTTACTTGGTTCTGAAGTCATCTGCAGCGAGCTTTGAGTTGTCAATGCTGAGATAGATGCTTCCATTCAAGCAGGTGGCAGCCTGGATCTGAGAGGTAAAGGATGGCAAAACATTTCAGGATGGGGCATGCATAGAATTTCACACTAATGCAGTACGCACAAACTGTGAAATCACACTGTAATCATTGAGTTCTGAGTTTCAGCTGCACTGTAAATTATAGCTCATAGTAGTATTACAGGGAACCTGTTGTGTTTGTGAACATTGTAAAGCATGACACAAAGAAACAAATTGCACCTTTAGCAATCGCCTAGGGGTTCTTAAGAGAGAGGGAGGATTGGCTTCCATGATCTGCTTTATTTTCAATGCTTCAGCTGAAAATATGCATACTGTCTTTGCATCTATGTTTGGTGCAATATCTTGGTTTAATCAATTATAACAAATGTATATACTTTTGCATTGTCCAATATTCATATTCATATCACTCTTAGTAACTTGTTGGAAAAACAAGCTGATGATGTGTTCACCATGTACCTGTCCTCTCTAACAAAGCATAACAGTGTCACAATGCAGAATTTACCATTGTTTTGACATGCTGTGATGTCGTCATTGAGTGCTCTTGCCATCGAGGAGACATGTCACGTACCTTGTCCTGCAGGTCAGCGATAGTAGCGTGGAAGCCAGAGTAGTCGCGAGCGCTGGGGGAGGTCTTGCTCTCCAGGAACTGACGAATCTTCAGCTCCAGCTCGCTGTTGGCCGCCTCCAGCAAGCGCACCTTCTCCAAGTAGGTGGACAGGCGGTCGTTCAGGTTCTGCATTGTGGCCTTCTCGTTGGCCGACACATTAAAGTCGGCTCCACCGCCGCCACCACCACCCCCTCCCATGCCAAAACCATAACCGCCGCCGCCACCCCCTCCCATTCCGAAACCATAACCGCCACCACCTCCTCCGCCGCCGGAACCGAACGAGGAGCTAGAGATGCGCACCCCAGATCCTCCTGCACCTCCATACACACTGCCAGCCCTCATGGCAGTGACGCGGCCTCCTCCACCGCCACCACCACCCATCGAGGAGAAGCGGGAGGAGCCCATGCCCATACCCATTCCACCACCACCTCCAGACCTCATGGACATGGTGCCACCTCCGCCTCCACCACCACTGCTGCTGTAGGACATGCTAGATCTGGAGAAGGACATGGCTGCTGAGAGGGAGTCTGCCTGCCTGGGATGAGGAGAGAGAATGTTGTGCACGGCCCAGCCACTGTTCCCTTTTTATGCTGCACAGGGCAGAAGGAGGGAGGGAGGGAGGGTGGGATGAGGACATGGGTGGGAGAGGCAGAAGGGAGGAATAGAGAAGGGAGGAATACAGGGAGGTATTACCTCATGTAGGACAGGGCAGGGCTCCTCCACCCACTTTGACACCCTGCGGACAGATGCTAGGATGCAGAAGGAGATGGAAGAGGATAGATAGATATGTACTGTATGTGTTGATATGCAAATATTGAAAATATACTAGTGTTGTGCAACTCCACTCTCCCCCATCTCACATGACATGCTGTGACAGGTGAGCTTTGCCATGTTTCCTGAGCATATAGATTGACACACTGAATAGCTATTTACCTCTACCTGTTATGTTACCAAGACAACAAGTTGCAAAGTAACTTCACGGTACAATATGTTCTTTCGCTTGACACCCAGACAACATTCTCTCCGAACAGACCTGTCTTTGTCTCACACACTGACACTCTCCTGTCCTTTTCCTTAAACGCAATAGTCCAGCTTCATAGTTTTTGTGCATAGACTCAGGTACCATTGTCCTATGTTTCACTCAACTTTATGCATTTTACATCTACTGTGTCACGATCGTCGGATATAGAGGACCAAGGCGCAGCGTGGAAGGTGAACATACTTATTTATTAAATGATACACGAACAAAACAACAAATCGATACGTGACGTCCACAGGTGCAAAACACAAACCAACACGGAACAAGATCCCACAAACACTGTGGGAAAACCACCTGACTAAATATGGTTCCCAATCAGAGACAACCAACAACAGCTGATACTCGTTGCCTCTGATTGAGAACCACTCTGGCCAACATAGATATACAACACTAGACTAGACACAACGAGCACAAAACATAAACTCTACACACCCTGGCTCAACTTAAAAGAGTCCCTAGAGCCAGGGCGTGACAGTACCCCCCCCTAAAGGCGCGGACTGCGACCGCGCCTAAACATCACCGAACAGGGGAGGGCTGGGTGGGCATTCCTCCACGGAGGTGGTTCCAGCTCCGGGCTTGACCACCACCCTCTACTAACCCCCCCGTAGTGCCCCTGGTCTGGTCTAGCCCCACTGGCTGGAGCTGGACTGGACTTCGGTGGAGCGGATTGCTCAGGCTCCGGTGTGGAGCAGCTGACCGGTACCTGACCAGGCCCCGGTGAAACGGTCACGGGCTGGCGATACGCACCACAGGTTTGGTGCGGGGAGCAGGAACAGGCCGGACCAGGCTGGCAACGCGCACCATTGGCTTGGTGCGGGGAGCAGGAACAGGCCGGGCCGGGCTGGCGACGCGCACCACTAGCTTGGTGCGGGGAGCAGGAACAGGCCGGGCCGGGCTGGCGATGCGCACCACAGGTTTGGTGCGGGGAGCAGGAACAGGCCGGGCCGGGCTGGCGACGCGCACCATAGGCTTGGTGCGAGGGGCAGGAACAGGCCGGGCCGGGCTGGCGACGCGCACCATAGGCTTGGCGCGATGGACAGGAACAGGCCGGACCGTACTGGGAACACACACCACTGGCCTTACACGGGGATCAGGAACGGGCCGGACCGGACTGGCAACACACTTCAGTACCTCTCGCCGTGCCTCTACATTTTCCTTCCCTCTATACACCAATGGCTCCCGTAACCCGGTGGCCTTCTCTCCTCGTCCACCAACTCGCCCCTTATCTGCCTCCAGTGGCCCCGTCGTCTCTGCCATGTGCCCCCCCCCTAAACATTTCTTGGGGGTGCCCCTCGCCTGTCCGACGACTGCCCGGTTGGCGCTGCTTCTCCTCTCCTGCCTGGGCACGCTGCTTGGTCCTGTATTGGTGGGATCTTCTGTCACGATCGTCGGATATAGAGGACCAAGGCGCAGCGTGGAAGGTGAACATACTTATTTATTAAATGATACACGAACAAAACAACAAATCCATACTTGACGTCCACAGGTGCAAAACACAAACCAACACGGAACAAGATCCCACAAACACTGTGGGAAAACCACCTGACTAAATATGGTTCCCAATCAGAGACAACCAGCAACAGCTGATACTCGTTGCCTCTGATTGAGAACCACTCTGGCCAACATAGATATACAACACTAGACTAGACACAACGAGCACAAAACATAAACTCTACACACCCTGGCTAAACTTAAAAGAGTCCCTAGAGCCAGGGCGTGACATACTGTAGGAGTCTGCAGGACCGACAAAAGTAGTTTTCCCTTCCTTTTACCACTTTACAGCACCCATGGGATCAGTCATTACTCCGGGCATTGTACCCCAGGAAAACCCACCCCAGAAGGGATTAAAGTACTGTTCTTTTCCCTGAACACCTTGGCAGGGTACTTGACATCTGCAACGTGCAAGAACAAGCTATTACTTGTTTGCATATTTCCATATAACCAGAGCATTTCTTGCAGATTTTTTTTATCATGCTCCAGAGGTTGCCATTTGAGTCCCATATTTTGAATGTGGAAAAGTTGATTTGCATTTGGTTAAAGCCAAAGAGCATTGCAGCAGTTATGTTCTGATGTTAATGATTTGCAGTAGAATGGATTATTGTGACATTGGTGGAGATGTTGCCACTATATATAGCTATTGCCTTTAAGTCAACATGGTCTAATTAGAATATGTAACAAAAAAGTAACATTTAACCTTTGTAGGTAAATTGTCAGCATAGGGTGATGATTGGTTGAGATGTTGATCAATGAGATTCTAACCTATATTCACCCACTCAAAAAGACAGCCAAAAGTTTGTTGAATTCCCAATGTGTTATCACTATGCTTTCAACCATCCAAAAACACAATCAAATTCAGATTTTTGGTTTGGTTGTCACCTAAATGTGTTATAACTGCACTTTCAACCATTTAGCACAAAGTTCAAATATTTTGTGTATTTGTACAACTGAATGTGTTATCACTGTGGTTAATCTAATAGCACAACCAAATGAGCTGAATTGCAGTTGAGATTGCAATAAAAGTACATGGTGCAAGCACGGGCAGACTAGGACCAGAAATTTGGCCCTGGCATTTCGGTTTTTAAACTAAGTTCCTGCAATTCTACTTAGTTTAACATGACATCTATTGTTGGGTGTGCTATTTCATGATAATAGTTATGAAACAAATCTAGTCTAACCAATATTTGATGTTATTCAACCAAATATGTTGTAATATTGTAATATGAGTCATTATAATCTCTTATTCAGAACACCTGGGACTATCAAAGTAGCCAAATGCATTATGTTTTTTGTGCAGTTTTCAGTAAGCGAATAGCTCAATTGATGGCAACAGATTTCCCATGCAAAGTAAAGTCAAAAAACGATTTATGACTTGTGAAATCTCAGCCTCTGAATGTCATAGAACCTAAAGCATCGCAGAGATATTAGTTGTTATGCATCGGTTTATTTAATTTGTTAAGGCCTAGATTCAATCAGATCAAGGCGTTAACTGGCGATAGCAGATACCCGCATAGAGATGTTTTGGCAGTGTTGGAGGTGGAACTGCGTTGGCGCTGTCAAATCGGTGACCAGCTGCTCTTTTGATCATTGTCACAAAGCCACACGCCCCACTCTTGTTAGAAGTCCAGAACGAGTAAATGTAGGCTATATAGAAATAATTACGGTCAAATTGAAAAATCATTCAACAAAATAATGAGGATTTGTATCATCTTTATCAAGGTGTAGATTACATCTCACATTCAGGGCTGGCTCTAGCCTTTTGGGGGCCCTAAACTAGATTTGGGGGCAAAACTTTTTAGTGTCCCCCTTCTTGAAGTGGAGAGAAACATGTACGTTTAAAGCACATTTCTGCTGTTCTAAACATTTAGCAATGGGGCGAAGAGAAAAATACAATTACAATATTATTAATAATAATAATAATAATAATAATAATAATAATAATAATTGGGTCAGGGGGCACTAAGTGATGGCTTATGTCGCTTATGCCTGGAGCTGGCCCTGCTCACATTCCAGTGTTCGAACTTGTAAACATGGCTGCATGGGATTTCTATTAATGGGACTTACAAATGTTTGTAAGATAGTCTTCACTTTAGGCTATTGTATTACAAAGTAATATTGAATTGTGTTTGGTTGTATACACAACAAAATATCAACATATGAAGGAGATGTATCTACTGCTTAGCTAGTTTCATTTGTGCCACTGGCTCAGTCCTATAGATTTTTGGTTGAGATGGAGAAGTAAATCCAAAATACTTGTTGTCGACAAGTTAATAGGCTACTTACTGTAATGCAAAAGTGATACTGAATTGTATTTGGTTGTCAGAGCAACCAAATATCAACATTTGAATGAGATCTGTACTAATGGCTTAGTCCTATTATTTTGTTTGAGATGGAGATGTGAATCCAAAATACTTGTTGTCGACAAGTTAATAGGCTATTTACTGTAATGCAAAAGTGATACTGAATTGTATTTGGTTGTCAGAGCAACCAAATATCAACATTTGAATGAGATCTGTACTAATGGCTTAGTCCTATTATTTTGTTTGAGATGGAGATGTGAATCCAAAATACTTGTTGTCGACAAGTTAATAGGCTATTTACTGTAATGCAAAAGTGATACTGAATTGTATTTGGTTGTCAGAGCAACCAAATATCAACATTTGAATGAGATCTGTTGTCACGGTTTCGGCCGAGGCTGCTCCTCCTCCTTGTTCGGGCAGGTTTCGGCGGTCGTCGTCCCCGGAGTACTAGCTGCCACCGATCTATGTTTCATGTTCGTTTGGTTTTGTCTTGATGTTGTACACCTGTGTCTAGTTAGTCCTCATTAGTGTCCTATTTAGTTCTCGTTGTGTGTGTATGGTGTTGTGTGTGATTGCTCTTCTGTTTTGGTGTTCTGAGCTACGTACTTCCCTCTGTTGTTTGGAGAGGTTTTCGCACATGTTAGTGCGGCTTTTGTTTGACGCCTGTGTGCGCC